GTGTTTTATACCATAACAAATACACCCGTTTTGTGACGATACACACACACTAGTGTTTATGCCGTAACAAATACACTTAGTCTAGAGTTTTATAACAAGTGTTTTATACCATAACAAATACACCCTTTTGTAACGTTACATACACACTAGTGTTTATACCGTAACAAATACACTTAGTTTAGTGTTTTATAACTAGACGTGTTTATACCGTAAGAAATACACTTGTCTAGTGTTTTATAACTAGTGTTTATACTGTAACAAATACACCCGTTTTGTGACGATACACACACACTAGTGTTTATACCGTAACAAATACACTTAGTCTAGAGTTTTATAACAAGTGTTTTATACCATAACAAATACACCCGTTTTGTGACGATACACACACACTAGTGTTTATACCGTAACAAATACACTTGTCTAGTGTTTTATAACAAGTGTTTTATACCATAACAAATACACCCGTTTTGTGACGATACACATACACTAGTGTTTATACCGTAACAAATACACTTGTCTAGAGTTTTATAACAAGTGTTTTATACCATAACAAATACACCCGTTTTGTGACGATACACACACACTAGTGTTTATACCGTAACAAATACACTTAGTCTAGAGTTTTATAACACGTGTTTTATACCATAACAAATACACCCGTTTTGTGACGATACACACACACTAGTGTTTATACCGTAACAAATACACTTGTCTAGAGTTTTATAACAAGTGTTTTATACCATAACAAATACACCCGTTTTGTGACGATACACACACACTAGTGTTTATACCGTAACAAATACACTTAGTCTAGAGTTTTATAACAAGTGTTTTATACCATAACAAATACACCCGTTTTGTGACGATACACACACACTAGTGTTTATACCGTAACAAATACACTTAGTCTAGAGTTTTATAACAAGTGTTTTATACCATAACAAATACACCCGTTTTGTGACGATACACACACACTAGTGTTTATACCGTAACAAATACACTTAGTCTAGAGTTTTATAACTAGTGTTTATACCGTAACAAATACACTTGTCTAGAGTTTTATAACAAGTGTTTTATACCATAACAAATACACCCGTTTTGTGACGATACACACACACTAGTGTTTATACCGTAACAAATACACTTAGTCTAGAGTTTTATAACAAGTGTTTTATACCATAACAAATACACCCGTTTTGTGACGATACACACACACTAGTGTTTATACCGTAACAAATACACTTAGTCTAGAGTTTTATAACAAGTGTTTTATACCATAACAAATACACCCGTTTTGTGACGATACACACACACTAGTGTTTATACCGTAACAAATACAGTTAGTCTAGAGTTTTATAACAAGTGTTTATACCGTAACAAATACACCCGTTTTGTGACGATACACACACACTAGTGTTTATACCGTAACAAATACACTTGTCTAGAGTTTTATAACAAGTGTTTTATACCATAACAAATACACCCGTTTTGTGACGATACACACACACTAGTGTTTATACCGTAACAAATACACTTAGTCTAGAGTTTTATAACAAGTGTTTTATACCATAACAAATACACCCGTTTTGTGACGATACACACACACTAGTGTTTATACCGTAACAAATACACTTAGTCTAGAGTTTTATAACAAGTATTTTATACCATAACAAATACACTAGTGTTTTATACCATAACAAATACACCCGTTTTGTGACGATACACACACACTAGTGTTTATACCGTAACAAATACACTTAGTCTAGAGTTTTATAACTAGTGTTTTATACCATAACAAATACACCCGTTTTGTAAGGTTACAAACACAAGTGTTTATACGGTTACAAATACACTTAGTCTAGTGTTTTATAACTAGTGATTTATACCATAACAAATACACCCGTTTTGTGACGATACACACACACTAGTGTTTATACCGTAACAAATACACTTAGTCTAGAGTTTTATAACAAGTATTTTATACCATAACAAATACACTAGTGTTTTATACCATAACAAATACACCCGTTTTGTGACGATACACACACACTAGTGTTTATACCGTAACAAATACACTTAGTCTAGAGTTTTATAACTAGTGTTTATACTGTAACAAATACACTAGTGTTTTATACCGTAACAAATACACTGTTGTACATGTATTATTAGCAGCTATTTAAGCAAACATTTACGTTTTATCAGATATTAATTTACAAGAAACAAATTTAATTCTTTTTGTTCACCTTATCATAGACTGTGAATTTGACCAATATGACAATATATAAGATATATGTCCAATTTTCACTGCGGGAAAGGCGATTTAGACTTGCAACTTGCCATTGAAACAGTCACATTTGATGTTTGTTATCAAGTTTTTGTTTGTTTGTTTGGGTTTTACGTCACATCGACTAAGTATAGGTCATATCGCGACGTTCCAGCTTTACTGGTGGAAGAAGACCTCAGGTGCCCCTCCGTGCATTATTTCAGGCACGAACGGGCACCTGAGTAGAACCACCGACGTTCCGTAAGCTTGCTGGATAGCTGTCCTCAAGTTGTGTTATACTGTAAATGAATCTTTCAAATATTAATGAGATTGACAAATATTGCAAGTCCGACTGATTTATCATTTACGATTATGCCTGAAGACAGCTTAACAAATAAAGTATAAATTGTTAACATGTATAAAATGGAACTGACTGGATCGCCTAGCAACGAGTTGTCACAAGAGATGCGTTCATAAAATACTTAGATATAATACAATCTTATCTTATTAATGCCAATCATTTACATAAGGTAGATTTATTTTTTAATCAAGATGATATTAAATGTTTCTATATTCACAACCAACAGCTGATGCAAATAGCAAACATAAAAATAGCTCTTTTACCGGTATTCAATTAAACTATGTTGCATATTTATTCCCCATAATAAGTTACTAAGTAAGTTTTGTCTACGAAATTTACTTTACAGAAAATAATAAATCCACACCCTGTCTATAATACTTCCGTTATGCAGGTAAATATTTATTCCAAACCTCAAAATGACTATGTTGTCTATATTAAAGGGAATCCACTGAAGGTTTTTGACATGACTGGACTTGTAATATATTTTGGATCTTAATGTTCCATTTTTGTACGTCCAGACCAATAAAGTGGATGCAAAATTGAAGGTCATTCGCTCACTCCGTTTTTTCCAGAACATTTATTTTAAAATGTGAAATGTAAAAAAAACTGAATAGCTGGATAAGAATAGGACAAAAATACAACTTTCAATTTATTTCTTAGTGTATTTTGTACTATCTGTAAAATATTTCTGTTTAAAGTGCCCAAGCTAATATATATAAGACATTCAAATTTTATAATTAAGGGATTTTCGACCTCGGTTGAGTTTCTTTTAGTAAATTTATTTATGAGTTAAAACAAAATAAACAAATCATCTTCATTCTAGAATCACCTTAAATACACACATTAAAATGAAATATTATGCAACGATCTATATACATTGTATCTAATTTAATGTCATTATGAAATTACGTAGTATGACGAAGAATGGTGAAATAAATATATTTCTTTTTTGAACCTCAGTTTTCACAAAACGTTCGAAAACGTAAGAAATATACGTATGAATTTGTCACAACCCGCCGTATACCGTATGATATTATCACGCACAACATGCATGCGTGTGACATTCGCATATAAATATAAATAGTTAAGATCTTATTACTTCATTGTTATAATGTCATAGTATAAGAATAAAGACTGTATCTCATACGTTTATCACATTTTCTTCTCATTTTCTTTCCATAAAAATAAGTTATGTCTTCATGCATTCATGCTACTCGACTTTCATACATGTATCTAGTTGCTGTGTTTTGATATTCAATTTTATAGCATTTGGCAAAAAAAACATTCATATTATAACATAATTACTCCAACATTGCACATCAAAGCTCATTACATTGTATATAATGTAAGTTGTGTCAAGACTCTTGACTTTTAAAACATTGTGATCTTTAGCATTTCAAATAATATTTTATTATTATCATTATTATTTTTTAATCAAATGAAGACAAACAATATTTATTTGATCGAAATTTCATTTCAAAGAAGCTTTGGTTTGTTTGCCTTCATTCATTTGATTGAAACAAATGATTATAATAAGATATTATTTGAAATGATAAAGATCACAATGTTTCAAAAGTTAAAAGTATATATATTTATAAAGAAAAAAAGGATAAAATAAATGGTCTTCAGATATAAATCTCGACCTGAGAAGTACATGTAACAGATAAAGAGAAATAAAATATATATGTATCTTTATCTCTTACTTCTCAGGTCGAGATTTATATCGTTGTATGGGAGCAAAAGAAACTCACCAATTATACGCTGGAATTCCGTTGAATTATTTTCAGGGCTGGTTTAATCGCTATTGATAAATCTGAGACCGAGGGTAGTTAATAGGGGATTGATCTACAATGTGCACATGTTCCACAAATATTCCAAATATTGATAAGAACAATAAAAAATAATTACATGAAATATATCAGAAAAAATAAAACTATTGACAGAGATTGAAGGTTTTTTGTTATGGATATATATATGTATACATGATAAATAATAGTGGTTCTAGAACAATTTATAAGCTAATATGAAGATACGTAGTATTGGAGCAAATTAGAAACGCATTCATGGTACTAGGTGTTCACATCTGATGACTGTTAAATACTTTCAACATAACAACATAATTACATGTATAATAATGGTGTTACTGATTTTCCACTGTGGACCAGTTCACTATCAAAGCAATTTAAAATATATAATCAAACCAATTTAATAGAGAATATACAAGTTGTATTTTCATTCTATCATAACGTGACAATGACTGTAAGTGTTTATCTTTACACTGATAATATATAAAAATATAACCAGACATTTCTTTGTTGCAGTGCAGCTTGCTATGTTTTTTTCTAAAGTCTCAGTCTACGCGGCGCTTTTACTTTGTCTACCCTGTCCTATTTAAACATTGGTTTGAATTTTATGTGTTTCACTGATAATTTGTTTTTGTTCACTATTTGATTATTTTTAAAATTGTGATCAGTTACAAGGCTTGTAATGATAATTCAAATCAGTAAAAGATGGAATCAACAGAATTTTTACGAAAGGTATCAATTTACAAACAATACTTATTGTTTATTTTTGTGTATCGATTCACTTAGTTGAATATACTTGTAGTATGGATATTCAGTAGTGATATTGAATTGTTAATTATTTTAGTTAATGAATGAAAGTACACATGTTGAACACCAAACTGTAAAACACTTACACAGTTGTCTTATTGCATTCTGTTTAATACTGTACTTTTGCTATTTCTTAATTCAGTTTTTGTTTTTGTTTTAGGATCGTGCCCGGGGTCAATATTGTTGTTTGTACATATATTTTGTATTGGTTTATTTGCTACTATCAGGTATTTTGTGCAACGTTTGTGCTTCTGAAGTGACAAATACTCCTTCTTTAACCAACAATAAAGGTAAGTTGAAGCTTTTTATTTGGCCGTTTTTGTTGTTTGCTCGTTTTGTTTAATTATGTTTTGTTTCTTTGTTTTTGTTTTTTTTGGATGGATGAAAAAACTGTTTGTGTTGGAAAGTGTTATGAGTGTCATATTTTCATTATCTTTAAATATTATCCACAGCATAATTCATAAAAATATGTTCTTTTTGTTCAAGTTTTCCGTATCTCTATCTGTCTATTAATGATATACTGAATTCCGTACACTTTCGTATATCCATACATTGTTCGCAGTGATCATTTATCATGATCATATTATACCAATACTGTATGGCACTGTTTGATATTACCATCATTTATGTCACTGTATTATCTAATAATCATCATTTATGTCACTGTATTATGTAATAATTATCATTTATGTCACTGTATTATGTAATAATCATCATTTATGTCACTGTATTATAAAATAATCATCTTTTATGTCACTGTATTATGTAATATTCATCAATTATGTCACTGTATTATATAATCATATTTTATGTCACTGTATTATGTTATAATCATCATTCATGTCACTGTATTATATAATAATCATCTTTTATGTCACTGTATTATGTAATATTCAGCGTTTATGTCACTGTATTATATTATAATCATCATTTATGTCACTGTATTATATAATTTTCATCATATATTGCAATTTGTGACGTAATCATTTTTTCTGCCATCATTAATGGAACTGTACATGTTATATTGTTTAACGTTACAAAAGGGATCGTATTATAATTACATAATTATTTATTTTACTGTAAATACATTATATAATTGCATTGCATTATATTATGTTAAACTCATCATTTTGGCACTGTATTATTTAAAATTATTATTTATGGCAGAGTTATGTAATATTAAAATCATCATTTTTTACATTGTATTGTATGTCACTATAAGTTACATTTATGACACTGTATCATGTAAAATAATATTAACTAGACTTTCTTATTTTCGGTTTTATCTGAATTTAAATAACTAGTTTTACCCTAGCATTTAGCCTATAATATTTTGAAATCGGATACATCTTGAATGTTGCTTTTTAAATACAAATACTACTTTCCCTTTGCATATATTGATGATTTCTTAAGAAAAACTGTTCATGTCATTTCTAAAAGACACACGATGTTTTTAGTTATTTTGACTAAACATTCAAACACCAGAGCTCTGACTTCTTACTGCACTACAGGCTTCCAATGTAATAAGAACAAAGTCAAATTGTTCTACATTTAGAACGGTTCTTATGCCAACCCATGGCAAGTCCTTATATTTACGGGAGAGGAATTAAAAAATCCAAGTTTCGATTTTGAGTTTTGCGCCATCGTGGTTTCGTAATGTCCACTTTCCACCATCGTGCATTCATTTTTTCACCATCCTGGTTTCGTTATTTCACTTTTTTACGATCATAGTGTCGTATTTTCATTGTTTCTAGTTATGTGTGTGTGTCGCGATGGCGCAAAAGGGACATAGTTAACATTTATTTGTAATATTACTTTTTCGGTAAATATTTGAGGAAAAAAAACACATGTAATAAAAAAACCTCATTTATAATCTTTTTGAAATTGAAATCAGTGTTTGAGTATAATTTAAGCATATATCAGCGTCATATTTTCACAATGATTGCTCTGAGGAACACGAATCATCTCCACATGAGAAAAATCCACCGCATTCTTTCAGGGAGGCTAGGGAACATGGACGGTAGCTTGCAATTGCCTCGTACACTTTCTTTGAAATTATCTACACATTTGAAATATATGCGTGTGTCTTGGATATGTGTCGGTAGAAACAACATAAATAAGGCTCTATGAGAAATGGAAGTATTGAAATCAAAGTATTAAAAGTGTGTTAAATCGGCAAAAGAAACAGAAAAAAAAACTAAATATTTTTCACTCCTCACCCGCATAAACATACATGAATTATTCTGATTGTGTCAGTACTATCGATATGAACTCGTATAAACCAGTATCAGGTCTACTTATTTCGTACACTCATGTAATGCGTTGCGTTATTTATCAATTTGCTGATTACATAATTGACAATAAATAATATTTTCACTAGGTACAACAGTTACTGGTATCTATTATTAAATCACTCCAGTATTGAAAAACTTATCTTTAATTGGTCGTGTTATTTATAATTATGACTACATCATAAGTTTGTTTAGCGCATATTGTTTTCGAAGCTTATCATGTCCCTGTATCGATTACTTTTGATAAACAATGTGATAAACTTAATTTTGCAAAGTCATCCTAAGTTAACCAAACACCTCACAATTACACATTATGTCATTTACACATATTTAGATAATAGTTGCATACACGTACATAAACAGGCTCGAAGTAAATGTATATTAATAAATGCTAAAATAATCATTGTTTTTGTTGTTGTTGTTGATGTTGTTGTTGTTGTTGTATATGAACATAGATCATATACATGTTATAGTATACAAAAGGAAAAGTCAAAATTTTATTTCAACATTACTGCAGATCGTACACTTTGACTTTTAAGAATTGACTCTTGACATGTGTTGGGGATATTAAATGAGTGTAGGTCAATTTTTAATTTATTGAACGAGTTGAATAGAATTATATAATTCGAGCCTCTGTCGAGCATATTATTATTTCACATATTCGTGCCGCTTTGCGACTCCGTAAAACGATACATATATTTTGACGTGACGTCATTTGCGTTTTACAAAAATAGCGTTAACACGCCCTAAATTTTAGTGTAACACTATAAGTGCGTCAATATCGAACACCGATTGTTTTTACTGTAAACAGTTATGTTGGTTATGTGATAAATTGAATATTATATTCGTGTAGATTTAATTAACTTGTTGAATGAAATAGTATTATGTTCAGAGAATATTATTTCATTCAACTAGTTCAATAAAATTGGTACTGAATATATACTCATTTAATATCTACTTTCTATTCAACACGTTCAGTAAATTTAGTAATGAAGCTTCACGAGTATTGTAATCATTTTATTACATATCAAAAATAAATAACTCTTTAAGGTAAAAAGAATTGCTGTTTCATTGACGCACTTATAGTGTAACGCTAATATTATTAGTGCGGCTATACGACATGTTTTTATAACGCAAATGTCACGTCACATCCGGGAATAACCAAAAGCTGCACGAGTGTGTGATAGATAAGCTTAGTTGCTATAAAAAATTCCCTTTCACACCTGTTTATGATTTAATAAAAACTTTTACATTTTCGATTCGGCACGAAGTTTTGGTTGTGTTAACATAATGAGGTGCGCAAATATACCCAAGAAGTTTCACATAAAGAGTGAATGAGGCTTCCATTAAAGGCTGTATATTTTATATCATTAAGATGTGGTCAGTTGCTCGTCAAAGCCGTGCAAAAACGGGGGCTCGTGTGTGCAATACACCAATAATGTCACGTGTAATTGCAGAGAGGGGTTCACCGGGGATATGTGTGAAATTGGTATGTTTCTATTATTATTATTCATAACGATCTATTTCACAAAGTTTATAACCTTCCAACGTTTCGGGGGAGGGGGTAACCTCCTCTTTTTTCATGTATAGGAGTTTGCTGTTTGTTTCTTTTCTAAATCATATATTTTTTTATCTTACACTATGCCATTTACCATATTATACGACTAGCGGAGCTATTCAAAATATGTCTTCCGTCGTTTGTAAGGAGACACTTTTAAACAATCGTTACTTTCCACGTGGATTTAACAAAGTTGAAATATACGATGTCCTGCTTGGGCCAGTTAAAGTATTTCTATTGACATGCTATTGTTTTCTAAAGTCTTACCCAGCATTTTTGTATTTTTGTAGATAATGTACCAAGATTTAACGTCATAGGAAGAAACTTTTCACGGCATTCAACGCCATTCAACATTGCTTTACGTTTAGCATGTGAATTAAGAAACTTAGCAAATTATATATTTCATGAATAAAAGTGCCCAACAATTTAAGGCCTAAAATATTTTCTTGTCAGTTTTAGTTTTATATTTTCAACGTGTATATACAATTAATTTCAGTCAGATATATTTAACATTAAATGTGTTAACCTTATCTATTTATCTGTTCTTTACACTTAAACGCCGTATAAGTCAGATACAGTTTCTCGAATTTTTTCAAAAGTGTCTTCTTTCAGACGTGAAGAAGACAGTTCGCTTGGACAAACAACAGTTTATAGTCAGCTTCGCCTGTGACAATTTGTTGTTTATCCTTACAAACTTCTTCTTACGTCTGTACCTTAAGAACTAGTAGTATTTCCATTACTTAAATGAATGTAGGTTCAATAACATAGTGTAAGAAAAGAAGAAGTTGTGTTTTTGAAATTGAACAACAATCTTCTTGATAAAGAGGGGTTCAAATCCTCGACCTGTTGAATATTGATAAACTTTGTGAAATAGATAGATAATTAATTATTTCAACAGTTGTTTCTTAAATTATTCCGTAAATCTATTGTAATAAAAACATGGTTTATGAAATGTATCTCATTCAATTTATAATTATTGCAAACGTAGATACAGACAGACAGATAAACATCTTAGAACAACCAAATGAGCCTTATTAAGATAGTGACGTGTTTAACTTTGAACTATTTTGTACATTATTCTCCATTAGATATTGATGTGTGTGTATTCTGTATCAAATATTTCTTGTTTATTCCATCGTATGATTTTATTAATTATCTCCCTTTATATATGAACAAATTCAAATAGAATGTTTCAGCTTAATTACGTTCTGTAAATATAGAGGAAATTCTATTCCTGTTTCTATCGTTTGATATCTCCTTTTAAATATACGACAATTTAAACTCAGAAAAGGTGTGGTCATCATGTCAGTTTTGCAGTTGATTAGTTCAAATATTCTTCATTATCGTCCTTCAGATATTGATGAATGAGAAAATATTTTTTGCCAGTTTCTGCTAGTAAAATCCCTTCTTATAATGAAGTTATCTCCCTCTTGATGTTTTGTTTCTTATCGCTCTCATAGTATTGAAGAATATGAATCGACTTTAGAAATATATCGGTATTACTTGCCTTTATTTGTCGACGTATCTATACCGAATGTTATTTTCAGTAATCCCCTTTCAGATATTGACGAGTGCCAATCGAACCCGTGTCCTAAGAAAGCCCAATGTGTGGATGGCAGCAACTATTACGCGTGCGTCTGTAAAAAAGGATACAACGGTGATCATTGTGAAAACGGTAATCTAAATATTTAGATAAAGCTTGCATCGATCCGAAACTATGTCAAACTATTATATTACCCTTAGCATAGTGGCGAACGCATATTCTGCCATGCTACCAGTGCAAGAAATATAAGCCGACACCGAACAATCACGCCCATTGTTCATGGTCTGTTCGTTTCTTCCATCAGTTATTGTGTTGACATTTTTCTTAACAATTGTGAATGATTTTGTTGAGATCGCAATATTAATTTTACTTTTTATTTAAAATTTTTAGCATTGAAAGGGTAAACTTATTTCGTTTTGATCTCTATGTATTTGTTAACTGTGTACAGGATTTCATAAAAAAAAGATTATAGTGTATGTATCTTTACCCAGTGGCTGATGTTGAACCATTTACATCAAACCTTTGTGGGTTATATTCGCGACTGGGGCAACACAAATATCGGTTGTTCTACTGGGATGCCATCTTGTGCCTGCAATGATAAACAGAACGGTACCTTAGAGTTTCCTCAATATATACCGTTTAAGTGTCACAATAAAACCTTACCATGGTAAAAGAACAACTAGACATTTTGTTTCTATCATATCGTCACGGAAAGCATGTGCTCAACATGGTTCAACACCTTCTGAGATGTTGTCAAGTTTTCAGCCTTACTTTCTTTCAGAAATCGACGAATGTGCCTCAAATCCGTGCGAGAATAAGGGAAAATGTGTAGACGGTATCAACATGTACTGGTGTGCATGTAAAGAAGGATTTACTGGAGAGAGATGTGAAGGTTCGTGTTGTTTAATAGATCTTTATACGTGTAATATATAACCACTTATGGGTGTGAAATTTGGGGATTAATAGTAAAGAGGTGCAATGTTTATCTGCTCGTTACTGTTACTGTTGGTGAAATTTAATTTAGTTTGCAAGAAAAAAATTATGATGATATAAATTATGGTGTAATATTCATTACACTCTTTTTTTCTTTTTAAGAAATCGACGAGTGTGCATCAGAACCATGTGAAAATGGCGGCGTTTGTTTTGATGGTAAAAATAGGTATAGATGCGAGTGTCCAAAAGGTTTTACTGGAAAGCAATGTGAAAAAGGTTTGTTTATACATTTTATCAGTCTTTTGACGTGATTTAATTATCGTCACTGAAAGTATGTGCTCAAACTTGCAAAACATAGAATTGAAGACATTGCTCAGCACTTTCTGAGATGTTGTCAAGTTTTAAGGTTTACTTTCTTGCAGAAATCGACGAATGTGCCTCAAATCCGTGTGAGAATTAGGGAAAATGTATAGACGGTATCAACACGTATTGGTGTGCATGTAAAGAAGGATTTACTGGAGAGAGATGTGAAGGTTCATGGTGTTTAATATATCTTTATACTTGTTAATTATCGTAAAATTTGGGGATTCATAGTTAAGAGCTTCAATATGTATCTGCTCTTTACAGTGGTGAAATTTTATTTTCAGTTTGCACGGAGAAGATGTATTGATATAAATTATTAAACCATAAACATTCTTTTTTCTTTTAAAGAAATAGACGAGTGTGCATCTGAACCATGTGAAAATGGCGGCATTTGTTTTGGTGGTAAAAATAGGTATAGATGCAAGTGTCGAAGAGGTTTTACTGGAAAGCGATGTGAAGGTTTGTTTATATATTTTATCAGTCTTCTGACAGTGATTGTATTGACATCGCTAAGAACTCACTGACTTCACAAACTTCATGAGACAATAAAAACAGCACTATACGTTTTCATATACTGAATATAATATCAGGCAAACAGTTTAAAGTTTGAAGGTTATTTTATAGATTAGAATCATCCTACTTCCGCATTTCTACGAAAAAAAAACCAACTAACAACAGCTTGTAATGTACAGGACCGAAAGTAACCGCACATATTTTTTTTCTTTATTTAATTCAAGCTATATATTAGCGAAGCGTTATCATTCAACTTCTAAGATAAGGAAATATCTAACTATTAAAAATTTTATACTGTCGTAACAATTGAAATATTTATTCTGTATTAGAGTTTATCAAAATTTTGATAAAAATTAAACTTGCGATGGCAGAGATCTGTGTAGTGAAGCAATGGGGACCAAGGTTTGTTAAAATATCTTTTTGCAAATATAAGGTCATACTAATCATCAACCACAACTAAGGATAACGTAACAAAAGAATAACTATATCTGCGCATCATGTACTAAGGCGAACATTATTTTGCCATCATGCATCTCTTGTTATATGTGTTTATGCGTTATTTTTTCCGTAAATATCTGAAAATATGTCATTTTGTAGTGGAATATTAAGCAGGTTTATTTAGAAGTCCCGTACATGGCTGTGTATAGATCAAAACCTAGTTGGATGTATGAATCAAGTACCGTCCATGGACAAGTTTCTTGATTAAGCCTTATTTTAAAAGCCTAACCTTTTATTTCTCAAGTTTGGACCGTTCAAGCGCCATGTTTTAGCTTGAAATTTTAACTTTCGTCATACATGGCTTTTGGAGACAAACTATACTGAATCTTACAACAAATAGATATTATGTTTTATGCATCGTCGGATACTCACGGTTGATTAACATGTATTATTTTATGCTTTTGAGTGGATCGTGAAAATTATATTTGATAATTTCAGAGGGAAAATTATCAAACTTATAATTTCACACTTTTCAATGACGAGACATATTTTTAAAAGATTTTCCCCATGTGGTACCTCAATTTCTATTTTCTGACAATTCTGACATTGTCAGGGATGTTAAGAGAAAAGCAAAGCTGTAATTGATTAATAACTTATATTTCAAAAGTATCATACGGGTAATAACTGCCTAATGCAATATGAAAATTTAAAAAGCAATGACAATCAACCCAGCGTTCGTAAGACAACCTTTCAACAAATCCGTGTTTTCCTAATTTGTAGCCGATTTTTGAATGTTTTGCAACTCTGTCAACAATTATTCATTATCTGTAACATTCTTCAAATAAGTTTCCTTTCTTGTAAAAATATGTACGATTAACAAATCAAAATGATATCCCTCTGAATCAAACACAATTATTTTCCTCCCGTGAAATACGCGGCCGCTTATATTACTTAAAGCCACGGTATAATATGAATTCGCCGTAAATAACGCAAATATGGTCAGATGGTGTGACTTTTCTTCTACTTGAAGTGATTGATTTTATTATTAAAACAAAGGGGCATTCGTGTTTTTAGAATAAAATAAATAATATCATCGACATGACAACTTTTTTTTAGTTCAAAAAGTCGACTAAAATGAGGCTACCCGTGGGGAAAACGGATTAAAAAAAAGGTTAAAATAGAGGAAATTTCATTTGTGCTTGTTTTAAGCATATGATAAAATGAAAATTGGTTTGTTTGTTGTGTAAGAGGAGTTCTGATTAACACTATTTCATTTTAAACTATATTCTTTTTGCCACAATTTCCCTCCGTAACCATTTTGACATATACACCTGTATTAACCAACGTCTGCAAAACATGAACCCCTATCCTGACAAAGGTTTGAAGCGCATTCATCTATGTCTACAACAGACAACTTGATTAAAGGTGGCCGAACCATTAACATATAGAGGATATTTGTTTGTGTGTGTGTGTAAGATGAAATTTTATTTCATAGAGTGAGCTTTAAAGGCGGTATTCTCACTCGTGGCTTCGCAACTCGTGAGAATAGTGTTTTTAAAGCTCCCGAGATGACATAAAACTACATCTTACACAACAAACAAACTAACTTTCATTTTATCTTATGCTTAAAACAAGCTCAAATGAATTTTCCTCTATTTTAACTTTTTTTAAATCCATTTTCCCCACAGGTAGCCTCATTTTAGTCGACTGCTTGAACTAAAAAAAGGTCGACAATCAACGTTAAATGTCGATGATATTATTTATTTTATTCCAAAAACACGAATGACCCCTTGTTTTAATAATAAAATCAATCACTTCAAGTAGAAGAAAAGTCACACCATCTGACCATATTTGCGTTATTTACGGCGAATTTATATTATACCAGGCTTTAAGTATTATAAGCGGCCGCCATTTTTAAAGTTGCGTATTTCACGGGAGGAAAATAATTGTGTTTGATTCAGAGGGATATCATTTTGATTGTTAATCATACATATTTTTACAAGAAATGAAACTTATTTGAAGAATGTTACAGATAATAAATACCCTAATTGTTGACAGAGTTGCAAAACATTCAAAAATCGGCTACAAATTAGGAAAACACGGATTTGTTGAAAGGTTGTCTTACGAACGCTGGGTTGTTTATGTATTCTTTGGGCTGATGACTTCCATTGCTTTTTAAATTTTTATATTGCATTAGGCAGTTATTACCCGTATGATACTTAAATATATCAAAAGTCATCAAGAGCAGTTTTGCATATGGAAGGAAATGTATTTTTCAAGCTGTAAAAATGAAACAAAAAATTATAGACGATATTTGCTGATTGGTAATTTGAACGATGTTTTTCTTTTCATTACATTTGAAATATAAGTTAGTAATCAATTACAGCTTTGCTTTTCTCTTAACAGTACCACATGGGGAAAATCTTTAAAAAAAATTGTCTCGTCATTGAAAAGTGTGACATAATAAGTTTGATAATTTTCCCTCTGAAATTATCAAATATAATTTTCACGATCCACTCAAAAGCATAAAATAATACATGTTAATCAACCTTGAGTATCCGACGATGCATAAAACATAATATCTATTTGTTGTAAGATTCAGTATAGTTTGTCTCCAAAAGCCATGTATGACGAAAGTTAAAAAATCAAGCTAAAACATGGCGCTTGAACGGTCCAAACTTGAGAAATAAAAGGTAAGGCTTTTAAAATAAGGCTTAATCAAGAAACTCGTCCATGGACGGTACTTGATTCATACATCAAACTAGGTTTGGATCTATACACAGCCATTCAAACCTTTGTCAGGATAGGGGTTCATGTTTTGCAGACGTTGGTTAATACAGGTGTATATGTCAAAATGGTTACGGAGGGAAATTGTGGCAAAAAGAATATAGTTTAAAATGAAATAGTGTTAATCAGAACTCCTCTTACACAACAAACAAACCAATTTTCATTTTATCATATGCTTAAAACAAGCACAAATGAAATTTCCTCTATTTTAACCTTTTTTTTAATCCGTTTTCCCCACGACTATTATTCATAGTAATCTCGGACTTAATACGGATTGAAAGTAGTTCTACCGCAAGACTTCAGATGTAAACAAAAACACAGGGTATAATCTTTGTATAATGAGTAACGAATGTATTTATAGGCATCAATTGGTAAATAAAGTATATTTTGGTAAAATTATGAACGAAAAATATGGTTGACAATCAGAGACTTTTACAGAATTGTAAATTGACGTACATTAATAAACTAAATAAAAATATAGCCCAGCACCTTCTGTTTACTCAATGTGAACATTTACACGAAATAATTAAATAAACTTAAGTCGTATGGGAGAAGTTAGCAGTTAACAGTGAGCTAAGCAAACAGCCATTGCATTTTATATAGGGAGATCAATGATCTGCTGTTATGCTCAGCTCGGTAAGCAATCTAGCAGTGCATTCCTGAATAAAGTGTAAAAATGCTCTGCTGGTATGCTCAGCTGGCTAGGCAATCTAGCAGGGCATTCCAAAATATAGTGTAAAAATGTTCTGCTGGTATGCTCAGCTGGCTTAGTAATCAAGCGGGGCATTCCAAAATAAAGCGTTAAAATGCTCTGCTGAATTGCCCAGCTGGCTATGCAATTTAGCAGGGCATTCCTAAATATAGTGCAAAAATGTTCTGCTGAATTGCTCAGCTGGCTAGGTAATCTAGCGGAGCATTTCTAAATGTGGTGTTTAAAATGCTCAGCTGGCTAGGCAATCCAGCAGAGCATTCTAAAATATAGTGTAAAAATGTTCTGCTGGAATGCTGAGCTGTCTAGGCAAACTAGCAGGGCATACTTCAATAAAGTATAAAATTGTTCTGCTTAAATGCCGAGCTGGCAGAGCAATCTATCAAGGCATTATTAAATGCAGAGTAAATATTCTTCCTCTAATACTCCTTATGCATCCTCTTATCCTAATGCCTCTGAACATGATATTAACGTTGCGAGATATATTTGACTGGCCTGCGCCTGCAGCTGTGACAAACATGCTTGAAGACGTCCAGGATTTCGGTACAAATGAACTGATAGCCTAATCTGGGTTTTAGTAACTGTTGGGAGTCCATTTCTGTAACTGATTATTGGGCACTCGTAGACTTTCTGAAGTATTTAGTGCCAATGCAGATAATGACATTTTTGACTTCTTTCGAACCCTCAGGTGTCTATTTTTTGGTCTGCGACTGATTCTGGGACAATCGCAGTTAATGTAGGTAATGACATTTTTTGAATTCTATGGACCATTTAGAGTCCATTTCGTTGTTCTGAAACTAATTCTTGAACACTTGCAGACTTTCAATTTTTTGTGCCAATTGAGGCTATGACATTTTTTACTTCAAAGGACCCTCCTGAGTCTATTTCGTTAGTCTGCGACTGATTCCGAGTCACTTGCAGGATTGTTAATGTCACAGCAGATAATGACATTTCTATCTTCCACTGATCTTTTTGACTCCATTTTGTCGGTCTGCCACTGATTATGATGCATTCATAGACTATCAGGAATTTTTTTCTCAAGGCAGATAATGACATTTTTTACTTCTAGGGACCATCAAAAGTCCATTTTCTTGGTCTGCGACTTATTCTTGGACACTTGCAGTTTTCAGGAATTTTTGGTGCCAATAGAGATATTTACATTTTTGACATCTTTTGACCATCCAGAGCCAATTTTGTTGGTTTGCAGAATTTCAGGAATTTTTGGTGCAAATGCAAATAATGACATTTTAGAGTAAAATGCTCTGCTTCTGACTAACGGTCCTTAAAATTAAATAGTATCATGATCTGCAATGGCATCAAAATCCTGAAAGTCTGCGAGTCTCAAAGAATCAGTCGCAGACCAAAAAATTTGTGCTCTGGCAGGCCTTATTATGACAAATGTGTCATTATTTTCATTTGCCTCAAAAATTCCCGAAAGTCTGCAAGTGTTCCATAATCAGTCGCAGACCAGCGAAATGAACTATGGTGGCTCGCTAGAAGACAAAAATGCCATTATCTCCATTGACACCACAGCTTACTGAAAGTCTGTAGGTGTCCCATAATCAGTCGCAGAACAGAAAAGTGGACTCTGGCGGATTCCTTGAAGTAAAAAAATACCATCATCTCTATTGGCATCAAACATTTTTGAAAGTTTACGAGTGTCCCACAGTAAGCCGCAGGCCAGTGTAATGGACTCTTAATGGTCCTTAGAAGTAAACAAATATCATAGGGCTAAATTGTCAATATCTGCATTGGCACCAAAATTTCTGAAAGTCTGCGAGTGTCCATCAAAAAGTCACAGGACAATACAATTATAGACTTTTTAAGGTCCCTAGAAGTCAAAAACATCATTATTTTTTTTGCACTACTTTGAGGAATGCCCTGCGTAATTTCTTAGCCAGATAAGCATTTTCACACTATACTTTGGAATGCCCAGCTAGATTGCCTAGCCAGCTGAGCATTCAAGCAGAGCATTTTTACACTATATTTAGGAATGCCCTGATAGATTGCCTCGCCAGCTGAGCATTCCAGCAGAGCATTTTTACACTATATTTAGGAATGTCCTGCTAGATTGCCTAGCCAGCTGAGCGTTCCAGAAGAGCATATTAACATTATATCTAGGTATGCCCTGTTAGATTGCCTAGCCAGCAGAGCATTCCAGCAAAGCATTTCTTACACTATATTTAGGAATACCTTGCTTTATTGCTTAGCCAGCTGAGCATTCCAGCAGAGCATTTAACATTAAATTAAGGACTGCCCTGCTAGATTGCCTAGCCAATTTAGCATTCTAGCAGAGCATTTTTTCACTTTGTTTAGGAATGTCCTGCTAGATGGTTTCGCCAGCTGTTTGATTGTTTCGCCAGCTGAACATTCTAGCAGAGCATTTTACACCCTATTAATTACTGTCCTGCTAGATTGCAAAGACTGCCAGCTGAGCATTTCAGCGGTTCATTTTTACACTATATTTTAGAATTGCGTACCAGCAGAGCATTTTTGCACTTTATTTTGGAATGCCCTGCTAGATTGCCTAGCCAGCTGAACATACCAGCAGAGCATTTTTACACTGTATTAAAGAATGCCCTGCTAGATTGTTTAGCCAGCTGAGCATTCTATAAGATTATTTTTACACTATATTTAGGAATGCCCTGCTAGATTGCTTAGCCAGTGAGCATACCAGCAGGGCATTTTTACACTAGATTTAGAAATGCCCTGCTAGATTGCCAAGACAGCTGAACATTCCAGCAGAGCAGTTTTACACTATATTTAGAAATGCCCTGATAGTTGCCCTAGACAGAGAGTATAGCGGTTCATTGTTTTCCCTATATTAATTAAAATGCCTTTTTGCTAAGCTCACTGTTCACTGCTCACATTTCACATACACTTAAACTAACTTATCCCAGCATGCAGATTAATATATGTTTACATAGATTATTTAGTTTAAGTTCGACCTTTCCTTTGAACTAAATGCGTTCATGGTCCATGTCCATAGTTTGACGGAAAAGGTCAAGTAGATGCAATAACTTGTTATATGTTGCATTTTTTTAATACGTAAGGTCAGTTCAAGGGTTCCGCCAATTTTCAGCTCCGGGAATCTGCCTGCCATAATTGTGAACTGGAAAACCAACTTACACATTGATTAAACTTTGATTTGGCCCTGACATTGACTTTTAGTAAAATATTTCTAGATGGCTTTTGTATATTGCTACGAGATTGATGAACACATACATGTCAATGGCAATGACATGGTTCAATTAAACCCTATTGTCAACTGACAAATTTTGAAGCAACGATTGAACATTACGCCGTTCTATAGCTGAAAACAGAAATATGATTATATCATACATGCGCGCATTAATCGAAGTTCTTAAATCAAATTGAAACAATACGGTCATCAGTAACTGACAACTATACGTTTGAATAACATAAGAGAATGCAAACATCAGACACCTTGATTAAGATTTTTAAGTTAATTCGGCGAGACAAGATTTCTTTATTTTAACTTCATTCTCTAAACTATGTGAATTGAGTTAAGATCAGAGCCTTTACAAGCTGTCTGAATGATATCTTACCGAAAAATTTACATTACACATGTATGACTTTTTTGTTTTAAAGTTAAAGGAAGTTTAAATTATACTTTAAAATATAAGTTTATATGATTCTGCTTTAAAATGCCCTTTACTGTTTCATATTTTCAGAGCTACGTACATTTTCTGAACCTAAACACCCAGTTTATTTTGTTGATACATCGCTAATCGTAAGTACTTATGCAAAAACATGTTTCTATTTCATCTGACTTAGACCTGTTGACGGTGGTTGACGGGGTGGAGATAGGGAGGTGGCAGGGATTTAGCTAGACTAAGTCATGAATCTCAAAATTGAGCATTGATAAAAAAAAAACAAAAAAATATAAACAATATATGAGATTTGACTTTCATGTATGAATGCACTCAAACTTGTTTGTGGCAACAAAATAAACATTTAAAGTGTAAGTTTTGCATTTTTTAATCATTTTATAATCCACATTCTCGACCATTCTTCGTGGAGTTGAAATGCATACGAAATGTCACAAAACATACTTAAAACGAATTGTGCCTGCAAAACGAAGCTAACCGTTCAAAGAAATAATAATAATAAGAAGAAGAAGAAAAAAGAAGACAACAACAACAACACCACCAACACCAATATCACCCTCACAACAACAAATAAACAATAAACAAATTAGAAGACACAATAATAAGCAAAAAAAAAAGATGAAAGTCTACACATTGAATGATTATTTTCTTTGCGGCCACATATGGAGTTTAAGTGCACATTAGGAGCAACTAAAAACCAATATTCATGTAACCGATGCCACTGTCATGTTCCATATGACCATCGAAGACTTGTTCTTTAAAAAGACTACTTATTGTACACTTTTTTACACTGCATTTTCTTCAGAATTACAATGTTTGTTTGATTGATTGTGTTTTACGTCACACCGACACAGTATAGGTCATACGGCGACGTTCTAGCTTAACTGGTGCGGGAAAACTTCAGTTGCCCTTCCTAAATTATTTCAAGCAGTAACGGGCACCTGAGTAGACCCACCAACGTTCCGTAAGGTAGATTCCTCACACGAAAGAATCCAAAGTTCCTGTCGGGATTCGAACCCACAGCGGTGAGGGGCAAGTGGTTTGAAGTCAACGACCCCAACCACTCGGCCACGGACGCCCCGCCTCTCAATAACAATGTAATTATAATTCAATATTATGACAAAATTTTCCCATGATGGTCATTGTGATTTTTTTTTCTTCCGATGTTCATTTAACCGTTACGTGTTCGATAAACTATTCGCTGAAAACCTTTGAATATTTCTGAAAATATGACGATAACCTCATTAAAATTCTAACCCTGATAATTTGGATAATCTTCAAAGAATTGACATTTAATTTACGCCTTTTCCCAAGCAGAAAGCCAGTTGTGTACGTGTAAATATTTTATCTGTTGTTTTTGTTACACTATTAAAGGTCCTGTTGCCAGTATTTTCACTTGTCATCATTACGTTGTTGCTAATTGTTGCTATAAACCTGTTTTCTAGAAGTGGTAAGTGCATGTTTTTTTCTACTACTTCATTTTTAATAACAACCATTTCATGCAGAAGGCGTGTTCAGTTTTTAACTCCATAAATTTCCATATGCAACGTTAGTTTCGAGGTACACAGACGGTGGTAAAGGTCGTCAGATTAGAAGTTCCTAGCAAAGAATATTTCTCTTTTATTGCCTGTTATTGTCGAGTCTAAAGTCCGACAAACAAGAGAAAAAACAACACAAAAAAGACAGGCACCTTTCTTGCATTGGATGTAAAGGACAAACTCGTGTCATATTGTAACCGATTACCTCACTTGCATCAACTTTCCTCCCTTTCAATAAGTTCCTTTGATAGTTATGTTTGACAAACTTCCGAAATATGTTATTACAAATTTGTTTTAATACTTTTGTATATTATTTCATAAATATATGTATATTTATATTATGTGTGTCTTAATCTTTATATAAATATCTCTCTTAATCTTTCAAGTATCCAATTTCCTTTTTTGTATCCTCTTTTTGCACCACCTTTTTCCTCCCTCGTATCGGCTTTCCTTCTCATATCAGCTTACATTCCACGTATCAGCTTCCCCTCTCTTGTACCAGTTTTCCTTCCTTGTACCAGCTTTCCTTCCTTGTACCAGCTTTCCTTCCTCGTAACAGCTTTCCTTCCTCGCATCAGCTTACCTTCCTTGTATTCGCTTACCGTCCTTGTATCAGCTTCCCCTTACTTGTATCCGCTTCCTCTCCTTGTATCAGCTTTTCTTCCTCGTATCAGATGTCCTTCCTCGTATCCGTTTTCCTTTCTTGTATCAGCATTTCCTTCTTTGTACTCGCTTCCCCCTTGTATCAGCTTCCTCTCTTCCTTTTATAAGCTTACCTTCCTTGTACCAGCTTACCTCCCTTGTATCAACTAATTTCCCTTGTATCAGCTTAATTTCCTATGTACCGACTAACCTCCTTTGTATCAGCTTACATCCCTTGTATCAGCTTACAGTCCGTGTATTAGCTTACCTTCCTGGTATCAGCTTCCCCTTTTTTGTATTAGCTTACATTCTTTGTATACGCTTCCCCTTCTTTGTATAAGCTTACCTTCCTTTTATCAGCTTCCCCTTACTTGTATCCGCTTCCCCCTTGTATCAGCCTTCCTTCCTCGTATCAGCTATCCTTCCTCGTATCAGCTGTCCTTTCTCGTATCAGCTTTCCTTTCTTCAGCTTCTCCTTCTTTGTACCCGTTCCCCCCTTGCATCAGCTTCCTCTTCCTTGTATTACCTTTCCTTCCTTGTACCAGCTTACCTCATTTGTATCAGCTTTCTTCCCTTGTATCAGCTTACTTTCCTTGTATCAGCTTACTTAACTTGTATCAGCTTACTATTCTTGTATTAGCTTTTCTCCTTTGCATCATCTTATTTACCGTGTACCAGCTTACCTTTTTTGTATCAGTTTACCTTCTTTGTATCAATTTACTTCCTTTGTATCAGTTTACTTTTCTTGTATCAGCTTACCTTCCTTGAATGAGCTTACTTCCCTTGTATCAGCTTACTTTTCTCGTATTAGCTTTTCTCCTTTGCATCATCTTATCTACCTTGTACCAGCTTACCTTTTTTGTAACAGCTTACCTTCCTTGTATTATTTACTTCCTTTGTATCAGCTAACCTTCCGTGTATCAGTTTACCTTTCTGGAATCAGCTTCCCCTTACTTGTATCCGCTTCCCCCTTGTATCAGCTTTCCTTCCTCGTATCAGCTGTCCTTCCGCGTATCAGCTTTCCTTTCATCAGCTTCTCCTTCTTTGTACTCGTTTCCCCTTGCATCCGCTTCCTCTTCCTTGTATTACCTTACCTTCCTTGTACCAGCTTACCTCATTTGTATCAGCTTACTTCCCTTGTATCAGCTTACTTTCCTTGTATAAACTTACCTAACTTGTATCAGCTTACTTTCCTTGTATTAGCTTTTTCTCTTTTGCATCATCTTATCTACCGTGTACCAGCTTACCTTTTTGTATCAGCTTACCTTTTTTGTATCAATTTACTTCCCTTGTATCAGCTTACTTTCCTTGTATCAGCTTACTGTTCTTGTATTAGCTTTTCTACTTTGCATCATCTTATCTGCCTTGTAACAGCTTACCTTTTTTTGTATCAGCTTACCTTCCTTGTATCAATTTACTTCCTTTGTATCAGCTTACAGTCCGTGTATCAGTTTACCTTCCTGGTAACAGCTTTCCCTTTTTTGTATTAGCTTACATTCTTTGTATACGCTTCCCCTTCCTTGTATTAGCTTACTCTCCTTGTATCAGCTTCCCTTTACTTGTATCCGCTTCCCCCTTGTATCAGCTTTCCTTCTTCGTATCACCTGTCCTTCCTCGTATCAGCTGTCCTTCCTTGTATCAGCTATCCTTTCATCAGCTTCTCCTTCTTTGTACTCGCTTCCCCTTCGCATCAGTTTCCTCTTCATTGTATTAGCTTATCTTCCTTGTACCAGCTTACCTCATTTGTATCAGCTTTCTTCCCTTGTATCAGCTTACTTTCCTTGTATCAGCTTACTTAACTTGTATCAGCTTACTTTTTCTTGTATTAGCTTTTATCCTTTGCATCATCTTATCTACCGTGTACCAGCTTACCTTTTTTGTATCAGCTTACCTTCCTTGTATCATTTTACTTCCCTTGTATCAGTTTACTTTTCTTGTATCAGCTTACCTTCCTTGAATGAGCTTACTTCCCTTGTATCAGCTTACTTAACTTGTATCAGCTTTCTTTCGTTGTATTAGCTTTTTTCCTTTTCATCATCTAATCTACCGTGTACCAGCTTACCTTTTTTGTATCAGCTTACCTTCCTTGTATCAATTTACTTTCCTTTTATCAGCTTACTTTCCTTGTATCAGCTTACCTTCCTTGTATGAGCATACTTCCCTTGTATCAGCTTACTTTTCTTGTATTAGCTTTTCTCCTTTGCATCATCTTATCTGCCTTGTACCAGCTTACCTTTTTTATCAGCTTACCTTCCTTGTATCAATTAACTTCCCTTGTATCAGCTTACAGTCCGTGTATCAGCTTACCTTTCTGGTATCATCTTCCCCCTTTTCTGTATTAGCTTACATTCTTTGTATACGCTTCCTCTTCCATGTATTAGCTTATCTTCCTTGTATCAGCTTCCCTTTACTTGTATCCGCTTCCCCCTTGTATCAGCTTTCCTTCTTCGTATCAGCTGTCCTTCCTCGTATCAGCTGTCCTTCCTCATATCAGCTATCCTTTCATCAGCTTCACCTTCTTTGTACTCGTTCCCCCCTTGCATCAGCTTCCTCTTCCTTGTATTACCTTACCTTCCTTGTGCCAGCTTACCTCATTTGTATCAGCTTACTTTCTTTGCATCAGCTTACTTTCCTTGTATCAGCTTACTTAACTTGTGTCAGCTTAGTTTTCTTTTATTAGCTTTTCTCCTTTGCATCATCTTATCTACCGTGTACCAGCTTACCTTTTTGTATCAGCTTATCTCCTTGTATCAATTTACTTCCCTTGTATCAGCTTACTTTTTTTGTATTAGCTTTTCTCCTTTGCATCATCTTATCTACCTTATACCAGCTTACCATTTTTGTATCAGCTTACCTTCCTTGTACCAATTTACTTCCCTTGTACCAGCTTACCTTCCGTGTATCAGCTTACCTTCCTTGTATCAGCTTACCTACCTTGTATCAGCTTACCTTTCTTGTATCAGCTTACATTTTTTCTATCAGGTTACCTCCCATCTATCAGCTTAACTCCCTTGTATCAACTTACTTTCCTTGTATCAGCTATCTTTCTTTGTATCAGCTTACCTCCATTGTATCAGCTTACTTCCCTTTAATCAGCTTTTCTCCCTTGAATCAGCTCACCTCACTTGTATCAGCTTACTTCCTTTGTTAAAGCTCACCTACATTGTATCCGCTTAAATACTTTGTATATGCCTACCTTCCTTGTATCTGCTAACCTTTCTGGTATCAGTTTACCTCACTTATATCAGCTTAACTCCCTTGTATCAGTTTACCTCCTTTGTATCAGCTTACCTTTTTGTATATGCTTAAACTACCTTGTATAATCTTATCGTCCTTGTATCAGCTTACATTTGTTGTATCGGCTTACTTACCTTGTGTCCACTCACCTACCTTTTATCAGCTTACCATCCTTATCAGAGCTCCGCAAAGTGCTAGATAACCTCTACAGCGATTAAACAGAAGTTGTTAAAATTTATTTCTTTAAGCTCTCAATTAAAGATACATTTTATGCCATTATTAGCACGATATAAGCAATCTTAATATTTTATCAATAATAAATTATTGAAAATTATATTATTTTGTCTCTACCGTAGAGTTAAAAAACAATTATTTCACATTTAGCAATTAACCAAGATTTCGATCACTCTGTACTTCAGAGGCGGAGGAGCGCCCTCGTGAGCGTGTGTTTCGTGGGAGGTTTAGAGCCAATTTACATTTCGATGAAATGAGAACTGATGAGAGAAGACAATATGTAATAAAAAGGAGACAAAAGCATTTTGAACAGTATCATAATAAAGAGCTTGAAATAGAAAATAATGGGCACGTGATTTTGGCGTACAGTGACATTCCATGGCCTAGTAAAAACGATTCAGCAGACGACAAAAGTGTTCTATTTGATTATTTGGAGTTGTCCCCACAAGAATATAGGACATATGTTCGTCAACAGCAGATTCGTTGGCATCCTGATAAATTTTTTCAAATATTTGGTAATCATATACAGAACAGGGACATGCCATCAATCATGAATAGAGTGACTTTACTGTCGCAGGATATTAATAGAATTGTATAATATTGGTATAGATACACCTGTAAATAAATACCCGTATTTATTTTGTTAAAGAAATGAAGGTCATAGAACAGCAAATCACCGTGCTTTGTGCATGCGCATGCAGGACGTTATTGATAGATTGATTTTATAGCGTTAATGCACAGAGTTGTCTTAATTTGATGTTGTTACTTTACTGTAAAGATTAATTTGTGTACTTCTGATACATTTAATCAGTCATTGTGCTTATGATACAACAAGTTTAAGAGTAATTTATCTAATGCGGAAATAATTGTGCACCACTGATGATACATATAATCAGAGAGTACTTGTGCACTAATGAAACATCAAGTTTAAGAATAATTTGTGTACTTATGATACATTTAATCTGGGATTAATTTGTGCACTTATGATACGTATAATCAGAGAGTATTTGTGCACTAATGTTATATCAAGTTTGAGATTATTTTGTGTTAGTATGATACATTTAATCAAGGAGTATTGCGCACTTATAAAACATATAATCAGAGAGTAGTTGTCCAATTGTGATGCATCATGTTTGAAAATAATTAATTTTTTGTGTTCTTATGATACATTTAATTTTATTTTATTTGTGAACTTACGATAATAGCAAGTTTCAAAGTATTTTGTGTTAGTATAATACAATTAATCCGGAAGTAATTGTGCACTTATAATACATAAAATCAGATAGTATTTGTGCACTATTGATACATATAATCAGAGAGTATTTGTGCATTTATGATACATCAAGTGTGAGAATAATTTGTGTTTTTGTGATACATATTGTGCATTTGAAAATGTTGGGCGTTTATGACATTCCGTTCATAGAATACCCCTTCCAGGAATAAGTTATCTTGTCAAGGTTAGGTGAAGGTTATGAATATCATTTATACATTATCTAACATTTTTTTTGCTATGAGTATATATAAACATTTATTTAAGACACGGCGACATGGTTTGTGGGTTATGTACATCCAAATTTAATCTAAATTTATCCAAATTTAATCTAAATTTGGCTCATAACATATTTAAGTACAGCGGCACGATTCCTTCAGACCGTTCCTATAATTCCCGTATTGTATGAAATAAAAGCGCAAGCGCAGCCATAATTTGAAAAACGCTTTGAAATCAAATATTTAGTAATGTGTTCCGTTTGTACAATCATGATATTTTATTTCGTCCTTACCCACGATGCACTATAGTACAATTGTAAAAACGCGATGGAACGATAACACGATAATGAAAACACGACATTATGAAGGTACGTTTGTGAAATCACGATGTTATGATGATACAATGGTGAAAACGCGATGTTATATAATGAGTTTTCATCGTTACATCACATCGTCACCATCGAACCTTTGCGTTATCAACATCGTACAATCGCACCATCGCATCATCTTGTTTTCGCCATCGGGACCATCGCGTCATCACCATCATACCATCGTGTTTTCACCATCGTGTGGTCGTGGTACATTTTGAATATCATTGTATTTGTTCTCATTATTTAACCGATATATTATCGCGTTTTTATCACCGTTCCAATGTGTTTTATCATCGTGTCATCGTTCCAACGCGTTACAGTCGTGCATAGCGGGTAAAGACGAAATAAAAATCACGAGTGTAAAAACGGAACACCGTAATCAAGTAAGATAATGTTTGTCATTCAAACTTTCATTTTTTCGACATTTTGTGTCTGCTTCTTGTTGTTTTTTGTTCGTTTTACTTTTTAACGAAGAGGTATGCTGACGGACGCGTAAATGGCCGATGACCATCACATTTTCTCTGAAGTTTTGATGGCAATTATGGACTATTTTCTTTTCTGTGATGCGGATGACCAATCAAAATCTAAGGCGCGAATGACGTTTATTTTTTATTACATTTAGCTCGTGTTAGGCCATCGTTAAAAACTTCTTTGGTTGTAGCGCTTTGACCCTAATTTTAAGAGGTGGGTAGGTAGGTAGGTAGGTAGGTATTTTTTCATTCCTCTGATATTGCAATTGTTACAAAAATTGAGCATATAACAATACACAGTATAATTATAATCTGCAATGATAAACTGAACATGTATTTGTCAAATAAAAATATAAAAGAAATTAGAAGTATTTTTGTTGATGTTTTCTTTTTTTAATATTAAAAAAATAAAACACAAACAATGTAACAATTTTGTTGTTGTTGTTTATATTTTATTTATTTCAATTTGCAACAAAAAAACTTTAACTTATTTCTTATTTTATTAAAACTTATTCGTTACTTTCTGAAGTTGACAAAGTTTTGGAAAAAAGTAAAATACCTAAAAGTATAATGAAACAAGTGGTTTGAGAAAAATATATACTAACTCATTACTTGATAGATCTAGCCATTTGAGAAGACGAAACGGAATTAATTCAGTGCTATTTAAAATGTTATTTATACTAAAAATAGCAAAGAAGGGAGGATTGTAGTAAATCCATATCATTGCTCATTACATGCACAATTAAATAAAATGAATTACCTTGCAAATAATAATCTGGTTGGAAAATAACTATTTTAAATTAAATGAGTAACAGCAGTATTTCCTATAACTCTGATTTTGTGTGGGTAAGTTTTAACCCCTTGTATTAACTTTAAGGGATACACTTGAAAATTTAGATTATGTAGATGATCTTGCAACTTACCAATCCATACTGTATTAACCCAGTTTACTTGCCAGTATATTGTATAATAATAGATCGTTATGTACATTACACTAGTTATGTATGTTTACCATATTTGGCAGTGAATGGTGAAGAAGACACTACTTCACCTGCTGTATACATGTATAGAGTGCAATTGTAGACATGAGGTTGTTCTGAAGGTATAATTAAACTAGGGATCAAAAATGCATTAAATAGCAATTTGATTAAATCATATGATTTGAAAGGGAATATATTATCTGATAAACGGACACTTAATACATTGATACAACAACAACAACAACAAAAAAAAAAAAACAAATATAAAAGCAGTGCATCATTTGTAAAAGTTTGCCTGAAAATATTTCAAATTATTTTTAATTTAGAAAAAAAAAATGAAATGAATAAATTTTTATTATACTAATGAATAAATAACAGGTATAACTTATTTAAAAGACCGATTAATTTGCAGCAATTTTAGCGCGAAAATTTCAGTACTCGACGTGTATTTTTCAACAGCTTTAAGTGTTACCTCATTTCCTGACAATGGCTAAATGATTTGAATTGATTAATGTCAACATTAATAATCTTTTGGTATTATTGATTGCTATTTTGTGTAAAAAATATATATTGATACAGTCCGTGGCCTAGTTCCAGACGGTGGTACATTTTCACATTCATTGATGCATGCATACTATTTTGAAACAAAATTGCAATAGTTTTTTTTTTCGCTTCTATACTAAAATAAATTATTAAGTTTTTTTTTCAAAATTTATTCTGGTTAAAAGGGTCCACAATAAAGACTAAAACACCTTCATATTGGTACCGTTTCAGTGTACATATACTAAGACATCATGTAGTTAAGATCGTGTATAGTTTCACACAGTGTGTAAGAAGAATCATTCGATCAGCAATATTTAAGTCAAAATCTTCAAAAGGGGACAAGTTGAACTCTACTTTTATAAAATATAATGTTGATTAAAAAAAGAACAATTCATTCACATGTTTTGAAACGTTTGCCGCAAAAGATCCCCTAAGGCCTAAAAATAGAGTCGGGGCCATTTTCATTGGTCGGTCGGGGCACTACAAAGAAACAATCTGTAAGGATGGCCTTATTCGTACCGTTTTTTTTTTAAATATGGTTGTCAACCATATTGTTGATACTCAAAATGGCTTTTTAGTCCCTAATGTCTCTCATTTGACATACTAAGGTAATTAGGATATTGGTATTTGGCTCCTTAAGCTTCATTGCTTAAGTCGCCACGCATGAACTAGAATTCGAACCATATTTATTCCTTAGTGCCCAACCCACTGGACTCTAATAATAAGGCATTGTAACACCGCACTTTGGTGTCAAACGCACTTTTGGACCAAAATCGGAAAATGAACCCCAAAGTGCGTTAATAAGCTGTATATGAACGCACTTTGGGCTTCAAAAGTTTTGAAGGTGCAGATTCGATTCTGCTTAAACACTGAGGACTGACTTATTTTCGATTTGCAATCTTGAAATATTGAAGGTACCGTTCATAATCATCGATACATCACTTTGCCGATATGCAATCAAATAATTTTTCCTAGTGTCATTTGAATAATTCTTAAGTAGCAGTCATTCTGTGAAAAAAAATGTTTTATGAACTTTACAATTTTAAAGTTTACAAACAATAAAAAAAGTAATAATTTCTTATATTGTAATTCGAAGAGCATTCTGTTGTGTCAGGCATTTATTTAATAAGGTTAGGTGCTACATTGGAACCTAAATTGAATATGTTATATAATTCAAATTCTGTGTATAATTAAAATGACTTATTACAAGTAAGTTGGAGGCAGCATTTATTAGTAAAGTTGCATTTGACCTATTCCACAATGTTCGATATTCCTAAATATGCGGACAGGACCACAAGACATTGCTTACACAGACATTTGGGGTGTGGAGCTCAAAACACCTTTAAAATCCAAATTAAATATATATTTGTCAATCCCAGTGCATGTAACTTAATATAAGCT